CACACACACACACACACACACACGCATGCACACATTTTCTTCAACAGCACTGAGCTCATCACGCAAGCATATTTTTTAGGGACCTACTTTTCATCCTGAATGTTAGGGGAACACTTGGCTCTATCAGTACATACTCTTTTACAAAATCTTGTTAAGCCTGGCAAAATTTGGCAAACATTCTGGAGAAGGCATTGGAGAGAATTGGAGCCTCTTCAGGACTTTAAGAAGTAGCTTGGGGGCCATCAGATTTTCTGCCCTCTTTGTGCATTTTTTTTTAAAGATTTATTTATTTGTGCATACAGAAGTGGGGTACAGGCCAGAGGTGCAGGGGCAGTGAGAGGCTTCACCAGAGACAGAGCGGGGAGCAGAACAGGCAGATGGATGAAGTACACTGCTGAGAGGAGCAGCGGGCGGGTCAGGAGAGGTCTGCCACGCCATGTGGGTCACCTCCGGGGCAGGCGGGAATTGAACTCATGCGGAAGTGGCTTTAGCTTCTCAGTGCTGTGCTTTAACCCGCTGCGCCACCAGGGAGGGCCTTTGTGCATTTTTTTAAAATCACATTTATGGGAATTAGAGGCCAAGTCACATTGAGGACTTGAATGCATTTCTTCGGATTGTTCCTTTAGCATATCTGCTGCTATGCGCTGCCCGCCAGTGGGGAGATGGGGGTCCATGCTGTTGTAACAGGAAATTTGTTGCTGCTTTGCAGCAGGAACACCATGAGGGACCCAGCAATTGGGGGGGCAGGTGTGCAAGGCTGGACTCTGCTGCTCCTGCAGAAGTTCTTGTGCCAGTTATTGAAAGCGCACAGGCTAGTAAAAGCTGGTCATGCGACAATGGTATGAGGAACAGGGTCCGGAGGGTGGGATGGGAATGGGGGACAAAGTTTTACAAGAGAAAGGGAAGGGGGTAGCTTGACCATGTGTCAAGAGACATTTTTGCCAGCAAAGTGTGATGTTATCACAGGCAGAGTCATCCCAAGACCTCCGTGAGATAGTCCCGTCATCAGGTCAACAGCGGTCTCTGTGTCCCCAGGCCTGCTTTGCGATATGACCTGTATACTCTGTAGGTAGGCAAGGAATGTTCTGCTGTGATGTTTAGATAGCAAATAGGCCGCAGCTGCCCATGAGTGGCCAGCTCCTAGGTCCCCCCACACCCTTGGAAGAGGCCTGCACACGGCAGAGTCTCTGAGAGTTATCAGAAGAGGGGTGACAAGCTCGCAGCCAGCACTCAGAAGCTCCTTGAGAGACTAGCCTTTCTTTCCAATCAATACAACGCAGGAAGACCTCCCTCAGGGTGTGGACAGTAGGGGGAGGGAGGGAGGACCAAGTTTCCCCAATACTCAGAACCTCTAAACAAAATAGGACAATGAGGCAACATTCTCCTTCCCTTTTCACAGAACTAATATAATTATTCTTCCTTGTTTGATTTGCCTTAGCGTTTTCCTGGTAGGTGCCTAGTAGCCGTTACAACCGTTTAGCTCTTTGGGGGAAATGTTATATACTTAAAAAGGATCATGCTTTTAATATTTTAAATGATTGTTTTAGGAGACTGGCTCTAAGCCTTAGTACTCTGTGTCATGGGGGAAATAATAATACATTTCAATAAGGTTAGTGTGAACCTTCAGTAAGATAAGGGTGGAAAGTGTTGCCCAGCATAGAGTAAATGTTCATAAATAAGGGCTGTTACAATTTTTTGTTAACTGTATTTTGAGTCTCACCCCACCACTGTGATACGCTTTGGAAAACAATAAAAATGCTTCACCTCTGCCAGGAATAGCACTCAGTAAGTATTGGTCGAGTGGATGGATGAAAACAGAGACTGCGTCTGGCTGTCTGGCTTCTGGCACCGAATTGAAGCAAGCTATGACCTCTATGCAGCTTGTCATGTTCTTGACATTTGAGCCTCCCCAAAGAACACAGCCCTCCACACTGACCCGCGCCTCCAGCATGCATAATGCACCGAAACCTGCTTCCTGTGTTGGTGCGCTGGTGGGCAGCTGTTACTTCCCACACACCTAAGTGTCCAGGGTCAGTTTTTTCACCTGTGAAGTGAAGGCTTGGAAGGCTCCGTGACTCTCTGCAACTGAACCCAGGGAAGTGGAACAAGCACAAGCGAGAGTCACGCCTAGGAATGTCTCTACTTCTTACCAGCCTGGGCGCCTGAGGCCTAGTGGCCTGCCCTGGGGAAGGGCGCTCTGGTGCTGGTCAATCTGCTGGTCAGAGACAATGACTTGTCAGTGGGCTGTGAGCAGTGGAAGGCATTCTGGGACTTCCTGCGATACCATCTGTGTGACACTGACACCTCAGAGGAAAGGCCAAATCAGAAGTCAGCATTGAAATGATGGTCTCTTTCTTTTTATAACCAGGAAATTCAAATTTGCACCCTGGTTTGGCCCAACATTGCCGGAGAGATCTCTTGGGATGTATCATTTGTTATTTTGAACTTCTTGGTGCCAGGATCCCTCATTGTGATCAGTTACTCCAAAATTTTACAGGTACGTTTGCTTCAAGCGCCACAGCTAAACTTCACTCAGGCTGGGGGTGTATCAGGTGGAGCAGGCAGATATGGGTCGAAGTCACCCTAGCCTTCACACCAGTAGGGCCCTGGCTCTCTGCATCATGTCCTCTGCCTTCCATAACACTGACTGAGAGAGTTTAGTGGCTTTTAAAAGCTGTATTGTGATTGCTATTATCCTTTCTGTTGCTGAGGGTTAAAGTAATACAGGCTCAAACACAAAACATTAAAGGCATAGAAATGTATAACAGAGAAACTGAATGTGTACTTTACCTGCCTTGTTAACAGTTCAAAGTGAAACCTGATCCCTGGTGTTAAGCCTGGGCTTAAAAACAAAGGCAGCTCCTTCCCCAGAGCAGTCCGGTGGCTTTGTCCCTGGAGAAACCCCCAGCAAGCTGGGCTGGAGGGCTGGGGTGCAGCTGCTGCAGGCTGCAGGGGTGGTTTCCCTGCAGCTCGGCCTCCCCTGCTGCTCAGGCCTCACCCCAGCTGCTCTAAAAGCCGCTCCTCGGGCACAGCTAGGTTTGCACTGGAGGCCCCCACCTCGGGACTCCGGGTCCCAAAGGCTCCTGCTTAAGGGCAGAGCGGGCTGGGGGCGGGGCGGCTGGTTTGTTAATGCCTGCCACCTGTGGTCCACTGCACTCAGGCTGCAGGCAGAGAGGGCAGTGATGGCCCCTCCGATGCACACCCCGGCCACGATGCTCCAGGGCATACAGACCCACCAGGGCTGCAGTGGCAAGGTTGCCCCATGCAGGAGTAGAAGCTGAGTGGCGAGGGGGTGGTGCTTGCTGCTGCCTCTTGGGCCTGAGGTTGGGGTGTTCTGTGGTGCTCAAACCTCTCTAGAGCTGGGGCGACCATCAAGCCGGCCCCACAGAGGTGTGCCTCAGTGAAGACTATTGCAGCGCCCTCAACCCTGCTCCCCAGCAGCCTGAGGTGCTGGCAGCTAACTGCTGTCATCTCCGAAGACTAAGGGGCTGAGCTCAGGTGTTCAAACCCGGCTCGCTTGTGGCCGGCAGAGGGGCTGCCCGCAGGCTGCATGCTCTGGCCACGGCCCCGCCCACAGCCCCAGCCACTGCTGCTGCTTTTAGAGCAGCCCAGGCTGGGGCTGGAGCATCAGGGAAACCACCCCCGCTGTGGCGCCCTCAGCAGCCTGAGCCTGTCAGCCCTCCAGCCTGACCCTCAGGGGGGTCGGGCCAGCCTGCTTGTCCCCAGGCTTAGGTTCAGGGAAAGAGCTGGTTTTACCCCATGGCTATGGCAGATCATTCGCTTTCACAAGTGTGATCTTTCCGTTTATTTATTTTTATAAATTTACATATACACACATTTTCATGCAGTGTGTGTTGTGCACATAAACGTATATAGCTCTCTAGTTGATGAACCATAGTGGTCAAATATCAACTCTGTAATGGTTTGGCCCAGTGTTCTGTAGGTTCAGTTTTGTTTAGTTTTGGGGTTCGAGATAGTACTATCTTCTCTGTAACCTCCTTTCTTTGCTTAACACCAGATCGCCTTCTCTTTGCCTGTCATTTCCCGTAGCTCTGCCTCATCATTTTTAATGGCGCCCAGATCCTCAATCATACAGATGTGACCTGGTTCGTGGACTTTGGGCTTGTGTGCATTATTTCCCTGGCACAGATAGCTGAGCTGTGAGTGAGGACGTCCACTTTGGTCACCTTTTATTGAAGTATAACACACATCCGAAAGGCACACTCAGCACACAGGGCCGGCTAGCTAACTGACCACGCTCACAAGGGCAGCATTCAACAGCAGAATAAGAAATAGAACTTGACCAGAAGTGCCCTCTGTGACCTTTCAGAGCTGTCCCTGACCCCAGGGAATGCACCTTTCAAAAGTACAAAAACCAGGAAATGATCTTTCGGGGACTCCCAAGACCTGCCACCCACCTCCTGCAGTCCTTCTGGGAGCTGGCCCAGGCAGATGGCATGTGAGCAAGTGCCTGACTCATGCCAGGCTTAAGCAAAGCCTCTGTGTTCTCTGGGAGGTTTACAATGGTTGAATGTTGGTTTTATGGCGCATAATGGATCCTCTAGCAAACAGGTATATTGAAGTGGGGACTCAGACCTGCTCTCCATCTGGTCATTTTATGGTCCTTTCTTGGTAGCTGAGGAGTTGTCAGCTTAGAAGCACAGGAGCCAAAGGCAGGCCGGTCTCTGTTGGAGTCTGCTAATCCCAGGTCCTGCTGGAGCTGCTGCCCAACTCCGTCTCATTTCCTAGACTCTTCCCTACCACTTGACTTGTGACCCCCTTCAAATGACCCCTTTCCCTGACTGGGGCTGTTTCAGGTATGAGCTGGCTTTAGGCGAGGGGTGAAGATCTGTAAAGGGCTTGCAGTGGGTGTAGGGGGGCTCAAGTGTACACCTGCTGTGTTAGCTTTTATCATTATGTTGGAAGAAAAAGGAGGGAACTAGGAAGAGAAGTGAAGAATGAATATTTTAAAATGTATTTAGCAAGACTGTGTCAGGAAGGAATTCCCCTAACCCCAATAAAAATTACAGGATAGGAAACCAGGGCACAGAAGGGCTAAGTAGCTTGGAAAAGGTCACATAGCTTCTAAGTAGGAATATCAGGATCTGAAGCCAGGCAGCTGGCCTCCGAGTCCCAGACTTTTGTTAGGCGTCTGCTTTGTGCAAGTGCGGTGGGTGTGTAGATGGGTCAGGTGGAGAGAAGGGTCAAGAGGAGATCGGTGTGAACGTGGGTCAAGGGGGGATCTTTGCATTCTCAATATAGCAAGAGCTACATGAAAGGGGAGGGGGAAGACAAGGCACTGCTGTTCAGTGCAGCGAAACCCTGAAACGAAGTGGAATGATGCTGAGATTTAGGTGAAAACACTGCCAACTGTTAAATGCTACATAAATATAAGGGCTGAATAGGGGTAAGAGAGAGAAGGGAAAAGGTCAGTCAAGACAGACATGGAGTCAGGAGAGGGTTATTTTATTTTATTTTTTATTGCAAGCTTCTCCATCAGGGCTTCACTATTTATTAATGGATAATTTACACCTGTATTTTTTTAATAAATAATATAATAGTTTATTTTTACATCATTTTGTGCATTTTTCCATCTCAGTTGTAATCCCCTTGGGTTTCTCATCACCAAATCACTCATGTGCCATCACCATAATCCAGTGCATTTCCCTCCCTCCCACTGTTTTTGATCCCATTCCCCACTCCACCCCCACAAAATGTCTCTGGTATGTAGCTGTTCATTATTAATGTTTTTTTCTTGCCTGGTCTGTTATACTGCTGTAAGTAAAGCCATCAGGTATTTTTCCTTTTCTCTCTGGCTTATCTCACTAAGCATGATCTTTTCCAGCTCCATCCATGCTGCTGCAAAAGGCATGTGTTTATTTTTTTTAGTTGCTGAGTAATATTCTATTGTGTATACGTCCCCCATCTTTTTAATCCAGTCATCCACTTAGGAAAGGGCTATTTTAATAACCTTATTGAGCCCTGAACCTCACACACACATGCGGTGTGCCTTTGCAGAACCCCAATTCTTCATCTGTGAAACAGCAACCCCAACTCCAGCGGTATAGATGGCGGTGAGCCATGCAAAAGGCAGCACAGGTAGAACATGCCCACCTGTCAAAGGGGCTGCATAGGCTACACCTGTTACTTGTTAGGGCTGGTCCTCCAACCTGCTCTCAGAGCATGCTGGGAAAAGATGGTGCTGAAAGCTTTGAGAGAATGAACGGCAGGATCCAGACTTGGAGAATGGCGACAAGGAATCGGTGCCCAGGTTGGGCTGGTACATTTGTAGCTCCTCCCCCAGCGTCCCTGCTCCCGCTTCCCCTAGAGGCCGGAGCTCTGGTCTACCCCATTCCGCTCCTGCCTCAAAAGTCTTAGCTGACCTCAAACAGAGGGCATAAACCTGCTTCCTCACCCACTTCCATCTTTTTCTCAAGCCGAGATCCACCTGGAAATTCTCTAAAGGACCTCAGGACCCCTGCTGTGCTAAGGGACATGTCCTTTCTTCCATCTCTCTCTAAACCACAGTTCACGGCAAGAACAAGGAGCCAGATACTTCAAATGATTTGCTGATTGGCCTTGATGATTATGGCTAAGTTAACACTGATGTTCAATTGATTTATAGAGTTATGCTCTTAACAGAAAAAGTCTGGCAGAAAAGCTTTGCCAGAGGGAGTATCTTCAGAGGGAGACAGTGCGAACTCTGTCCAGATACTCCAGCCACCTATGGCAGCTGCTTCTAAATCACCCTCCTGGGAAACGCATGGGTACAATATAAGAACCAATGTCATCATCAATGCCTGGGAAATGGGCAGTGGTCTCTTAACGCTAGTGAGTTTGACAGAAACTTTTTAAGTCTTATGTTTACATTAACCTTGTGATTTTCAGAACATTATCATTTCTACATGGTCATTTACTAAACAAGCCACTGAAGCCCATTTGGCTCCAGAGAAAACTGAACCCACATTGGTTATTGCCCAAGATCACGCCAAAACAAGCATGGGCTAGAATCTGGGCCTTATGGTCCTTGTCCACTGATTTCCCATGTCCCAGAAGAGAAGGCATTGCTGGCCCCTTCAGTGGGATCCAATAAGGCTTGTTCTAGGGATGCAACAGTAAACAAAATTCTCTTACAAAGGGACAAGGACTGAGAGGGTTGGGGGATGGGGGGCTGTGCCTTAACCACCCTTCTGCCTTCTCTGCTTCCTCTTTCCCCCTTTCCCAGGCATGCTATACACCTTCAGGGCTTTTTCCAGCCAATACTTTCCCAGGGGAATAGCCTTGCAGCCACGCCCAATTGCAGTGGTTCCTGGCTGTCCTTGGGAACTGTTGGCCTTGATTTACATTGTCACCAGGCAACTGTTACCATGGCAACATGAAATGCTTCTATCTTTGCGACAGTTGGTAAGTTTATTGTTGTCCCTCCCTTCTCCCCTCACACACACTAGCAGGAAGTCAGGCTCCCTTATTTCTTGCTGTATTTTTATCACCTACAAG